AAAGTGTGTTTCTGCCTTTTATGAAAAGCTTTGATTTTTTTTTTTTTTGGCTTCTAGCTCTTCCTCTATATGTGAAGCCCAGTTTGTAGAAGCTTCTTCTATTGCTAAGCTAGTAAAGGCTTCAGTTCTGTTTTTGACTCTTGGGATGTTGCTTACTTTTGTTGCAATAAAGTTTCCTTTATTTTCTTTGTTTTTTTTTATTTTCAGTGAAGCTAAAGGTTCTTTCTTTAACTGCATCAAGTCTGACTTTCTTGTGTTGTAACTTATTCATGTTTACAAATAGTTTGCACTTTTTTGGAGTAAAAGTCTTTACTCCACTTGAGTTTTGAAAAGTAACTTCTAGTTTTTGTAACAAAATTTTGTATTTGCTATATTTCCAGTTGTAAACTGAAAAGAGTTTATATTTTTTTTTGCTATGACTATTTCTTTTAGCATAAGATAATATTACTACACTCTTATACATGCATACTTATCAACAATAAGATAATATACAACAATCTCCTATTACTACTTTTGTTAAGTTTATCTGACAAAATGGTTGTTTTTTTCTGAACAACACCTATAGCAACTTTCAGGAGCGATTTGGGAGTATACTCTCTAATTGTCTTTTTTCTATTTCATCTAATCTTTTTAAAATTCTGTCAAGAATATCTTGCAAATTACTTTTTGGTTCTTTAATCACTATTACTTCTGGTCGAGTATTATTTCTATACTTCTCTTTATCTACATTATCTCCTCTCTTCTGATTTTCTTTGTTAGTCCTACTTCTCTTTACTTCTTTTTTGACTTTTATAAACCTCTCATGTTGTGTATTTTTGTTTGCCTGGTATTCTTTTACTTCCCTCTTTTCTTTTCTTTCTGTTTCATCGATCTTGAAGGATCTTGCAATACTCTACTCTAACCTTGTACTGTAATAATACACTTCTCTTTCTGTAGTAAACCTGAGGTCTTCTTCTGTTTCAAAGTACACTGATGCTGTTTTTTCCTAATTCCTATTTCTATTTACTGATATATAAACTGTCTTTGCCTTAACTGCTTTAAGTTGTCTTAACAACAATACTTCTATTGCTGTTATTAGAATATTTCTAACTATAGCTTTATACAATACTCTTTTCTTTAACACTTCTCTTGCAAAGATGTTAGAAGTTACTCTACAGGTTTTTTCTTCTTTAAAATGTACTGATCATGCTTGATCTAGCATTGCTTTTCTCTTTTCATTCTTAAATTCAATTGAAAATATTGCAGCTTTGCTGGTTCTACAGTTTTTCCAATCTATAAACCTAATTCTACCATAAAATTGAAGACACTTTCTCACTTGTGCTACATGAACTTCAGCTAGAATGTTCCACATTGTATAGATACTATCTACTCTATTTCTATTTTTGCATTTCATTAGTGGTTCTTCTGTATATATTGCTTCTTTTTCTGCATTTTTTTCTTTTGCTCTCTACTTTCATTTACTTTCTTATCTTCTTCCATCTTCTTATTACTCTCTTTTTTATTACTATTCAATTTTTTATCCAACTTCATATTCTTTATTTTATTCTCAACTTGCATGCTTTCTTCTTCAATACTGTTCTCATTTTCTTTCTTCTCATTCGATTTAAGTTTAGCTGTTTGTTTTTCTGTAATACTATAATCTAAACAGCCACATTCTTGTTCTAATAATGCTTCTTTGTTCATCTTTGTCTTCTTTATTTGCTGATCATTATTTTTTCGTAGTTTTTCATTGTCTCTTGCTTGTACATATTCACAGTAATTATAAATCTCTATTAAATTTCAAAACACACAGACTAATACTAACTCAGTACCAATAAGTTTAGCTAATTCTTCATCTTTTCTTAAGACTTTTGGTTTATGACTTTCTAATATTTCCTTCTGTGCTTTGTTTGACTTACCAAACAAGTCTTGATATTTTTCTAGTTTATCATATCATCTGGTTTCTGTAGATACTGGTTGAACCTTCTGTGTACTACTTCTTTGCATTATTTTATATCCTTAACAGGTATACTAAACACATGATTGCTTCTTAAGTTTGTGTTTGTTTGTTTATCTGCATGATTACATGTCTGTTTGTTTATTTCCTATTCTGCTTATTGTTTACTTTGCCTTAATTTTCATGTCACGTGTACAATCTGCAATACAGAGTTTCTGTATTTTTTCATTTTTTTTAAAAAATTTCCAAAAAAGACAAGAAAAAACTCAAAAAGGCTGTCTCTAGACTATTATACTGCTGTTCTTTTATTTTATTATTCTAACAAACTATAACTAATTTCTTATTAACTTTCTTTTTGCTTAGTCAGCTTTTGCACTTTGTCTTAACAGTTTTTGTATTTTCTATAATTTTCTTTTTATTCCAAATTTGGTTATGAGGATCAGCAGAGAGAGTTTGATGTGAAAAGTTATTTAGCTTTTCTATTTTATTTTTTTGTTCCTTATTATTTTCTTTTTTCAAATATTATTTTTTTTTTTTCTTTTTTTACTTTTATATTTATTATTAGCAGTTTTGTTTTTATTTTATTTATCTTTATATTATTTAGGGATGGGGTTCCGTAGTCTAGTAGTCTAGGTGCTCCTCCCTTCACAGACAAGGTCAACGGTTCAATTTCAGCTAAAGGCAACTCTGTAATCTACAGAAGCATATGAATGTATGCGAAGCCCTGTGGCTAAGTCCATGTGATTAGAAGATCAATATATGAGAAAGTTCTCAGAAAAAAGATTCCCAATATAGAGAGTTGGCGCTTGATGCGAGAGAAGTGGTGAACATACCAGAAATAGAAAGAAGGCACACTAGCAGATGATACGATGAACATAAAAGAAAACTATGAAAAAGAAATGGACTTACCGAAATTCGAACACTTCTGGCACCAAACTGGTTCTAGTAGTTACAGGATCTACTAAAATTGGATAAATCTAAGAGGTAATCTTGGTACCATATTTAGTAAGTCTGCGTCAAGAGTAAATTCGAGGGACTATAGATACCTGGTAACATCCAATGAAGTGATACCTTAATATAAATAGTAATTAGATAGCCCTAACCTGGCATGTTCATGTGGTAATAGAAGCATTGCATATATGTAAATAGGGAATTCATAGGCAGATCTCAGATATGACAGCTAGTAGGTAACCTTTAGACAGAACCCTTAATTAGATAATGACTAAAGTTATACATGTGACTAGCTGTACTTTCGTTGATAGACTTTGTATATACTTGAATAATGATATATTACCCAATAAAAACAGACAGGCAAGATTGCCACTTTAAAAAAAAAAAAAAATCTTAATATTATTTATTATTAAAAAACTTTTTTGTTATTTCTAAAATCTTTATTAATTACTTACTACTATTTACAATCTATATTATATTATCTGTATATGCAATATAATATTGTTGTATTGCACATCTTTTTTGATTTGTTACTTTACTGTATAATTTAAACTTTTTTATCTTGTACTTTTTTTAACAATAGATCATAAAAGAACCATTATATTAATAATAATATTACTTTACCTTGATTTATATCATTTCTTGTTGTTATTTCTTCTGTTAAACTATAAGCTGTAATGATTTTTAATTGTCTTCTATAGAAAAGATTTAAAATATATTTTACTGTTCCTTTGAGTATTTTGATTCTTTACAATACTAATTCAAAACTTTTAAATAAAACTGAATTAAATATCTTTTTTATTTTTTGTAAAAATATTTATACTTCTTTACTTTTCTTTTTTGTTTCTTCTATTATTATATTTAAAATATATACTGGTTGTTCTGTTAAGTTATCTAGAAAACCTGCATAATTTGATTCTTTAAATTTTTTTTTTTTATAAATACTTTGACATACCTTTTTGTTATCACCTTTATTATAACCTTTTTAAATATTTTTATTAATGCTATTGATCAAATATTATTTATATTCTTATTTAACATCATTTAGTATTAGGTAAATTTATAATATTTTCTATTTAATTGGTATTTTTCTTATTTTTAAATACAAATCTGTCTCTAAACATTTTTTGTGTTTTTTTTCTTGTTCACTTTATCAGAATATAACTTATACCTAATATATTTAAAACTGTTCCTGTCTTTAACTCTTTTAACATTTCTTCTTATTCTTTTTTTTTAATTTTTTTTTTTAACTTTTATATACTATTCTTCTTTGATGTTCTTTCATGATTTATATACTTCTTTTTACTTTTTTAACATCTCTTCCAATCTGATGTTTCTTTTCTTAAACTGTTTCTTATAATGTTTTGCTATTTCTGTTCTAATCTTTTTTGATTTTGTTAACAAACTTGTCTTTTCTTTAATTTGTTTGATAAATCTGTCAAGTACTATCTTTTGTAAGACCTATTTAACAAACACACTATCATTTTCATTTGGTCTGTTTTAAATATTATGACCTTCATTTATTGCGATTTTTATATAATTAGATGATACTAAAATTTTTCGAAAAATTTTGGTGCGCCAAATTACCCAACAGCGCCATAATACGTACCAAACCCTCCCTTATATAGTAATTATTTTTGTATTATCTTAAATCCCCTTAAATACTGGTTCAACCTTGCTCATATGTTATGTTCGATAACTTTCCATCCGGAGTGAGCATTCGACTTGAGCTAAAGATTTATAAATATGGACTACGAGCATGGACCATAACCAACAATTCCAATTTCAACAATTCCAATTTCATAACTAAGAAATGCGAATCATCGCAAAAACAAGTGAAAAGCACTTAGCGTTAAGCCTTAATTTGTTCTATTTTTACCCAAATATAAAAATACAATTGGATTTCTTTTTACATAGGAAATCGCTGCGATAGCATAAACGATACTAGTCGGTTTTTAGAGATTAAATGCATACTAATATACAATACCACGGACTGCTTAAATCAGAAAAAATCAAAAGTCATGGTTGCAATCCTATGCTGTCGGAAATCACTACACTAATCCTAAAAATAAGAAAACTGCAAAACAATCAAACTTCATACATTAATGATTGCTTATATTAATAGACTATTAACGACATGAACTAGAACAGATATGTTTTTCAGATTAGGGCTTTGTGGATCTTGAGCTGCAACTTGATAATAATACTGTTCTAGTCGCTGTTTCACCATCGGTAAGAGCCTTTCACAATGCTCTCGAATTATAAGGTCCTAAAAATAATCGTCGTGTTAAAGTCAGAGAAAATAGAATGTAATGAGTTGAAATCAAAGTATATTAATTATATACTTTTGGATTAAGTTTAATAACCGCCTCCTCCATCCATGCAAGCTTGAGTTCAGAATATTTATTTAATTCTAAGGAAAGGTGATGAATAAGCGAAAGGATGACAGGCTGTGAAAGTAAGGGTCTCGCAGGCGGAAATACGGTCTTCGGGTTAACACTATTACAAAGGCGTATAATTAGAGACAATTCATGTGATGCAAGAACCTAAAGAATGAGAGTTAGGTTAAAAATAAATAAATAATAAAATAAGAAATCAATATTTTTTTGTCATGATAATTTAGTACTGACCGCCACAAATGCATCTTCATAATTCTGAGCTTCCAATGCCCTATCTATAGCAGAATTATTCGAGTCTTCCAGACCAGCTGTATCTACAGGAGAGAATAGCTGCTGCTGTTGTTGTTGATGATGCTGCTGCTGCTGCTGCTGTTGATGCTGTTGCTGCTGTTGATGTTGTTGCTGCTGTTGATGTTGCTGCTGCTGTTGATGTTGCTGTTGTTGAGAAGATGGTCTTGCAGAAGAAGGAAAGCCATACGTTTCTTGCTGAGTTACAGAGGGTGGTGGTTGAGTCGTAGCACAGTTATGTGGAATCAACATACGTTTCAATTCACCCGAAAGTGATCGAGCTAAATGATGTTGCAATTCGTCAGATGTACGAGCTACTGGTTGCTCAACATGTCTTGTGAGATTTGATTGTGGGTTAGCTTGTAGGTGTAATTGCTGAAGTTGTTGTACGGATAAATTTAAATGCTCCAAAGAAGCCTGCAAGCGTGCCAAAGCATTCTGATCGCCAACACTTCCAATATTAGAATATGAGGAGACTTGCGCGCTCTTATGAGCGATATCTTGTAGACCAGCCTCAAAAGTAGCAGTTATTTGCTCAAACATTGCATTGGTAGCTTTTTGATAGGACGGAATGAGTACTGTTGTAAAATTTTCTCTGAATGTTTCCTCGATAACCGGCCTAATAGCCTTGGAGACACCTTTAGCGATTGATTCTATGACTGTGGTTTTTGCAAGAACACGTTGTACATTATCTGCTACAGATTTTTCAATAGCAGTTGGAATGTTCTAAATTATTGAATATGCAAAGAGTGAGTTGAGATTTTCGTATATAATCATAGTTATTGTTATTTCAAACCTTATTCACAGCATCAACCATTCCTTTATGTGCATGCTTGTCAACAGCATTAGTGACCATCTTGTTTAATGTCGGTAAAACTGAAGTTTGAATTTCGTTACGGATCGTTGATTCCAATAATTTGGCTGTATTGTTGCTTAGCGTCTGAGAAACTATTTTAAGAATTGCTTCTTGGCGCGAAGTTTCTGCAGCTTGATGAGCTATGCGTTCATCTTCAATTTTTTGAACTAGTTTTAGAAGAGTTATTCAATTAATGTGGTTGATTGAACTAAACAATTTGTTTATTTGATTCAAACAAAGAAAAAAAAATACACTGTTTTTCTAATTCTTTTGAAAACATCTTTCCGATCTTATTGGTAACGTTGTCTTCCATTTTTTTTATTTCCTTCACTATTGTCTGCATTTGAGCTGGTGATATTCCGGCGACAGAAGCTGTCGTCGAAGACTGTCCAATCATAGGAGGTACTTCCGGACCAGATACGTCGCCAGAAGTTTTTGTTATTGAATAAGATTTTCCACTGGATGCTTTAATACTCACACCATCTTGAAGTATTTCTGTCGCCTTCCTGTTTTTTTCACCGCCTGTATTTGATTTCCCATTCTTTGAGACTCCTTCGGCAGATTTTTTGCTAGCGGACTTGTTAGTCACCTCAGAAGATTGGATAACATTTTCGTTGTCCTTTTCCTTTTCTAATCCTCGACGTGATTCCTTCCGCCTTGAAGCCTTTTCTGAATCTGAAGATATATCTGTATTTTGAACCGCCGATGCAGTATTAGTCGCAGCAATTGTTTTCTTTTTCTCTTTCAATTTGGCTATGGCACCATTAACAGCCGTAGACAATTTAATATTTGTCGATTTTTGATTTTCTGCATGTTTTGCTTCACTTTCATCATGTAAATACGTAGACTCTGATATATTTCCCTCTATTATATTTTGCTTCACTGTCGATGTAGATTCATCAATCTCAGAAGTTACAGAAACTACTTCAGGTCCATCACCTGCGAAGTATGAATTTTCAACTACTAATGTTTCTTTGTTAATGTCTTTTTCGGCAATATTTTCTTCGACAGTAGTGCCCTCAGCATTTGACGAAAAATCAAATGATTCCGAAAAGGCACCTTGCTCTTTCTTGACATCATCCTCATCTTCTTGCCGTTGTCGATCAAGAACACGTACCGCACTTACATATTCAGTACATGTATCAATATTCGGAGGCAACAGCAAATCGCCACTTATACAGTATTGTTGTACTGCTTTAGATTGAATACAATATAACGAAAATCCATCGGAAGATGTAGTATCTGGTATTATAACGAAGCTACCAATTAATTGATTTACCGGATATTCGACCATATAATCAAATTGTACCGAATTCAAGATGGGAAATTCATCCGGAGTTGTTACAGAATCGTATTCAAACTGCCCATTACCCATCAAGCTGGATTGATTGAACAAGTCAAGCTTATCTAAATTTTTGCTTGGCATGTTCAGATGCAGAGCAAAGATAGATATCCTGGCACTATTAGTTATCACAAGGGTGTGTGATCGACGATCAAAGCTAACGCAATTGAACATGGCTTCTTCCTTTCGATAGCCTTTGTTTAATGAAGGGCGACGTTCGGGTGGTGGTAAAAATTTGATCGACTGTATGTACTGATCAGACTCTACATCGTAGAGGTGGAGAATAGTGTTACGTTCCGTGCCAATGACTACATACCGGAATTTAACCGAAGATTGTTCCGATGAAAATTCTCCTCCATCAACAAATAAAACAGAGGACACTTGCTGTCCATCAAGAATGATTTTGCGCACGAGGGTAATACTAATATCAGATTCAGGCTCTTGATTTAGTGCACTAAAAATAACGCAGTCTTCACTTGCAGTCGCCAAAATTGTCCCATCATAAGAAAAGGCTAAGTCGCTAATGGGCTAATAAAAAATATATGCACATAATATGCCTTAATAATTCATATATATAATTCATATATATAATTCTAAGTAAATAAAATTTTCATAAATGACAGACCTTAAAATGAATTTGAGATTTTAGTATCTTGCCAGATATTTCTGATTCCTTAAAACTCTGCGTTTCACTACCCTCTAAAATCTTGCTAATATCGAAGATCATAACTTCGTTCGTATCAACAGCAACTGCAAATAAATTTGGATTCAATGGATGCCATACGGCACGATGATATCGTGATTGTTTCGAATCCTCAAGTGATTCTTTGGCATCAATTTCAAGTAACACTTTGTGTCTGATTTACAGATATGTAAGGGATCAATGAAGAATATCGGGATGACTTAGTTGTATTGTTGCAAACCGATGTTCCTTTCATAAATGACAAAACAAGAAAGGAAGGCATACGGGATTTCCACGCTTGGTTCAGATGGTGGTTCAGAAAGTTCCCAGACAGTGATTTTACTATCACCACCGATAGCCAAAAGTAGTTGCTTTTCGGACTGCCCTTGATCAAGTCCATCGTGTGACGTTTCCCGGATACACATATCAAGTATAGACTTATCCTTGTCATGATTCCGTAATAAAGTTCTGCTTCCATATAAAGTGCTAATCACTCTAATTTTCCCACCTGCATATAAAATCATTGGACATAAATTAGTTTCAACAAAGTAATAAACTATCCACGTCATCAAATATCTTATACCTTTAACAACATAGCATATGTAACGTCCGTTTACCGCAATGGATTTTCCAAGACGATATTCTAAATCACTTGGAATAAGAGTTATGGTTGTAAGATTCAAATCCTTTGAGCACAAGACCTTTTCATTTCGTTCGCCAGTATCATACAGAAGAACTCCTCTGGGAAGTCTTACACCATCCGGAATACTAGTACGCATACAAAATAAAAAAAGAACGGTTCCGATATTCTATGTTTTAATAAATGATTTTATAAGATAGTTTCAAATCATGTACGAAATAACCCAAAATTTTTTACCTTGTTTGACCTTTGGGTGCTGCGCTCGCGCGTACATTCCAAGCTGAAAATCCAGAAAGGAATGGTTCAATTTGTTGTTGAGATCTATAGAAAATCCCACCTTCTTTTTGAACTGTTGACACATCTTTTTTCTTTTGTGAGGGTGGTGATGATTGTGACGGCCACTGATGAACGACGGGGTGCCGATGAGAAGGAGAAGATGGCGGTGACTTTTTTAAAAGGTCAAATGGATTGCTATATGTGAATATTGATTTGTTCGTCATGGGCGGTGAATGTTTAATAGCTGTAGTAGTGGAAGTTGGTTTAATCGATTCCAAACTAGATAATTTGTTGTAATCAATAACTTCAGTGGGAGATGATAAATGTTCATCTATTTCAGATGTTTCTTCAAGAAAAGAGTTATCTTCATCTTCTGGACTTTCATTTGAAACCATTGATGTTTCAGGTTGATATTGGATTTCGTTTTCTTGCTGACTACGATAAATAGCTTTGTTAATTACTTTGTTAATAATGATTAAATTTCTTAAAATTTATGATAATTACATCACAGCATTATACCTTTCTTCAAGGCTTGTGACTGGTGTAGGACGGCCAAATAGTGCAAGTTTAAGAGATTCGGTTGAAGCTTTATCGACGTTTAAGGTTGGGTCAACTGCTGTTGAAGAGGATAAATTTTTAAATTCGCCATTTGAAGGACTTTGTATTTGGCTAACTACAACACTATGTGGCGTCGTTGATACAGGTGAAGTAAGGGAATTTGGATTTATAGTCTTAAACAAAGACGTCAAAGGGCTAGGTGACATTACTTCTGGCTCAGGTAATGGTGGTGGCGGTGGTGGCACAGTAGCTGGTGAATAAGTAACAGTGGAATTATACCCAGTTTGCTGAGTAAATGTCTGATTGAAACCAAAAGTCTTAGGAGGACTTTGCCTCGGAGGTGGAGTTGGTTGCGAAGGCGGATAGGAAGGTGTTGGTGGACTTCTTTGACCAGCCATTGTCGATTCGGAAGGTGACGTTTGGCTTTTGTGAAGAATACTTAACAACGTTGCCGAAGGGTCCATTTTACAACGGTTTTTAGTAAGTATTTTATGCCTTATCGATGTATAATTTCAAAAGTGAAAATTTTTTTATCTAGATTTCAGAATGACAACCTGACTATGACGCTCCGCAGTAACTTTAAAATTAAATGAACTAAAAAATACGTCAGTTCCTTGTCACATGATATCAATCACGGTGAGGATAGATTCTAACGTACCAAATTTTTTTAACCATACAGGTTCAATACATGTCGATATCAAAAAAAAAAGTATAAAATAAATTAATTTAGCCCAGACGTTGGGGTTAGATCTGGTCAATTTTCATTTGGGCTGTCTCGTTATTTCTGGATATAATGAACCTCTGCATAACGAACTCTGGATAAAAATTTAAAAATTTTTATAATCGTTCGGTATAGAAAGTGCTAAGAAAAATTTTTTTTTCTTACAGAACCGTCAGTTCGTTATAGAAAGAGTTGACTGTATATATTTAATTATAGTTTCTACCAGTAGCAAAAATACCCGAATATTAGAGTTGTATTTATAATTAAACATATAGTAATTATAATATACAGTATAGTATACGTATTATTATTATTTGTTCAAAGTTTTTATTTATAGAATTAAAATTTTATTTAGATTATTTGAACATGAACACCTTTAGAGGCACCTTTAAATTATGATGTCTAATTTAAGTTCATCATAACTATATATTATATTAAAAGTTTTGTATTATTAAAAAGGTTTGAAAAGTATTAATTAATAGATGTAATAGTATTAGCAAATAGAACAAAAACGCAATTTTGATATTTATACAGTATGAACAGTATAAAATATATGGGCTGCCGTCAATAGAAATCAGGCAGATTGACATTTTAAAAAAAATCAATACCTTACCTTTCACAGCTTATATCTTGATGAATATAGAAGCTAGTTTAATTATTTAATATTAAAAGAAAGCTTAAGATCTAAGCTTTCTTTTGCTATTGAATAATGCATTAAGCTTCAATATGAGCTATTGACGGCAGCCCATATACTTTTTTCAAGTATATTAAATTTTTTAAAAAAAAATTTATAATAAAAATAATAATATATTTTTTTAAAACTTTATTTGTTAGTTATTTTTATTAAGAATTTTAAATACAAATTTTGTACAAAGTTGGCTTGAAATTTGGGTTCAATTCAGATCCAAAAGTTATACTAAGCTAGTTAATTAATTGATAATGTTAATTAATTAATAATAATATGTATAACACAGATTATTTATATACAAACTTTGAATAGAAGTTTTGATGTTATAAATAAGATTAATAAATTTAAAATAAATTTTTATTAAAAATAGAATAAGTTTAAGAGTAGAGTACAACGTTGATCATTTCTATATATAATTAATTGCAAATTGTTATCACTTTTTTTTATATTTAATTTTTTGAAAAAATATATTAAGTAAATAAATTTTAATCTTTATATAAAAGTTGTAGAGTAGGTTTTTTTGATTCTAATGATAGTAAAATTATTAAAATTGAGTAAAAACTCATTAAGATATGAGTTTTTAAACATTAGGCTATAAACCTATATAATAAAATTAACTTATAGATTTACATAAATTAACCAATCAAATTATCCAATTTTGTATTACCTAGGCAAATTTTATCATATATACAAGTATATTTTTTTAAAATAATATAATAGTTCAAAATTTTACTATAATAGATAAATAATTTTATTTATAATATTATAAAAATTTTTTATTAATTAATTAAAAAATAAAAAAGTTTTAGTAGTAATATATTTTGTATAAAATTTTTTTGCAACTAATTATATATAGAAATAATATATGTTGTACTCTACCCTTAATGATTATTAGTAGTGAATTTTACTAGTCAATCAAAATATCAGATGTAATATATAAAACAATTTTATGTAATAAAAATAAAAAACTTTTAAAAAATAATCAATAGCTCAAAATTATATATATAAAACCATCTTTGATACTTTAGTAAAAAAAATTTTTTGCAAAATTTTACTATAAATAATACTTTTATTCTAACTTAATATTAATTTAACTATAATAATTAATAAGTTTATTTTTGATTTATAAAGATTAGTTTAATTTAATTATAAATAGATAATCACTAGTAAAAGTTACTATTAGTAAATTTTAAATAAATTTTTAAAAATAATATAGTTAATAGAGTAATACAAAATTTTTGACTAACTTTTAGATTAGAGCAATGCTTTAGAGTTAGTTCTAAAGTATTTTAAATTTTAGATTTTGTAGTTTTTATTGTAGTTATTTAATTTATAAATTCGAATTTTTTTTTTTAATTTTATAAGCAGTTACACTAGTGCTTTATTAAGATTTTTGAAACTACTACTGTAATTATATAAATTTATCTAACAACTAAGCCTAGCATCATCTAGCTATTCTAATGATACCTAAATACAATCTGTCATATTACTTCTAGCAGAAATAAGCTGCTTGTTTAACTACTTAAAATTCATAATAAAAGGGTCTTTTTCCTTTTATAACAAGCTTGTTAATTGTCTTTTTAACTTTTTTTTTTATTTACTCTTTTTTTTTTTGTTTTCTTTTTCTTTTCTTCTATTGCTTGCTAATTAGCATTTCTTTTTTTCTTTATACTTGACTTTTCTTTTTTCTTTAATCTTCTTTTTTTCTCTCTACTTGTTATTCCTCTTTCTTTTTTTCATGTGTTGACCTTTTCATAGTGGATTCTTCAGACTTGTTTATAGAATGTATTTTATATTGTTTCTGCTACTATGTTTGCAAACTGTTGTTATGTTTTTATACTTAAAATTTGAAATAACCTGTCTTGCATTGTCTTTGAGATTAGGCCTTTGATCAGCACTTTCTTTATTTCTATTTCTTCTTATTCTGTTTATTCAAAAAGTACTATATACTGTATAATACTTAAGGTGGGACTTGTATCTTTTCTTCTTCTTTTAAATTATTCTATGATGTCACTATAGATACTTTTTGTATCCTTTTCTATAGATTTGCTTGTCCCTTATATGATGCCAAATGTTTTTGTATTTCTTTGACTTCACTTTGACAAACTTGGCATTCTGCTATTGTATATATATCTGGTCTTCTTCTATTAAGTTTTTTTAATGTTGAAAGCTTGTCCAATATACATTTTATGAAAGCACTTTTTCTTGTACTGCTTCTTTTTGTCAGGCAGTATATTCCTTTAGATGAATTTAGCCTTCTTCAAAAGTATGTCCAATTGTATATCATTATTTCTGCTTCTGGTTCAATATTCTTGATCACTATTGTTTCTTTCTATTCTATTTACTTGCAGGTATGTTTATTTATTTGTTTTCCTATTCTAAACAGTACTTTATCTCTTTGTAGCTGACTTTTTCTAGAAAAATTATTTTTCTATTTAATGTTCCCTTCTTTACAAAGATATCAACTTTATTATTCTATTTATTTTTGCTATGCCTTTTTACCTTGACCCACTCTATCTGTATATTCTTTGTTTTCATTATATCTATTATCTTCAATATTCATAGCAAATTTTTCTTTTTAAGAACTTCATTTCTATCTATACATATTAATCCTTTACTAATGTTCCTAATTGCTATATTGCTATTTATAAATATTACTAATTTTTTCCTTTTTGGTATTGTTAAGATTGCTGCCTATATTGCTAGCATCTTAGCTATAGTAGATGTAAGCTATTCCTTTACTTCTAATGCTACCTCTTCTTCTAATCAATTTTGTGCTTTAGCTATTTGTACTCAACCTATACTTATGTTTTTGTCTATTACTTCTTCTTTGTTTTTTTTATTTGCTGCACCATCTGTATATATTGTATATTTGTTTTTGTTTCTTGATATTTTTTTTTTAAGATTTCTTTTTTTTTTTTTTTTTTTTTATTGTTAAAGTCCTTATCTTGGGAGTTGCGATGTTTTTTTTTAAGTATTTTAGGACACAGCATGCCCCCAAGGGCTCACCTTATATTGGAGGTTACAAATAGCCACACATGCACTTTTGGT